ACAGAATTTGATAATATATATACGACTGGATAGAGGAAGTCTTTCTCCACAAACCTACATATATCCAGTTCTATAGTCAAAAATCACACTGAAATTTATAGTCGCCATTATAATTCAGAAACATTTAAAATTTTTTGTTTTGCGACAAATTAAAAATTAAGAGTGAGAGTTTGATAAAATTTTTAACTTTCTTGAATTCTAATTTCTTCTGTAATAAAAAGCAGCACAACAAGCGCAAGACATAATAAAAATACATATATTGTCACAAATACAGTTAAACGAAAACAGTCATATATAACTAGTAGAGATGTGCGGGACCAGATATAAAACTTTGCCGGAGCCGGGACTCAAGTTTATCGTGAAATACTCCATAGTCTTGACCAAACTATCTCATAAATCATATAAAACAGAACCTAATTCAAGAGAGATGATGAAAAAAAATGCTAAGCGTCGAGTATTGAAGAATATCTTTGGATGTGATACGAATAAATACTGAAATGATTTCCTCTAAACAGGGACCAAAACTCGGAAATTTATAACTAATGAGACTGAGGTTTCAAAAACTAAAACCATCGCGACCGAACCTGGACTACAACAGATTTTCCAGAACTGTGACTGAGTACTAGTGGATAAAAGTTATTGGTACTGGGAACAAAAAAACTTTGTTCCAAAGGGCACTAATCTCGAATGTTGCACTTCGACATATGCGAAACCGTGATTGTGAGATCTCGGCCCAGATAGGACACAAAATTAATTTGGTATGCTTCCAGTCCCGCAGATCTGCACTCAGGTATAACAGCTACTGAAAAAATATATAAAAACTTAGCTCATTTAAAATGGTCTTATGAATCAAAATAGAAAAGATCATCAGATGAAACAGCTTCTCCATCGTTTATTCCATATAAAACTGTATTATCAAAGAATTTATTACAATTATAGTTCCGAAAGAAAAAGAACAATTGTTTAAAAGTAATGAAGCAGTGTCCAAAGAATCAGATAAACAAACGCGATCAACGACGACATATTTTACTGCTCATAATGAAACTGTTTATTACTTTTTTTTTATATAGGTGTGTATATGATTGTGATTAATTTATTTGTTAAGATTTAATATTTGAAAGTTTGATTAAATATTTGTGTTGTCTTATTTATCATTATGTCTCTTTTCTGTATTACAATATATTAGTATGAAAATAATGAATTAATTTATGATGTAGGAAAACTTTACTTGAAAAGTCATAGAGTCAAAAATATCATGTAATCTCAAATTCCGTAGTCCCGATCTTGCACATGTTTAGTTGTACTACATCATAAGTAATAGATATATGATTTGAATACTACGGTAGACCATAAGAATGATACATAAGTTAACGAAGAAATTTATCAAAATTTCAATTGGAATATATTTGTTCAACTTGAACTAACCTATTTTCGTCTCGAGTGGTGTAAAAGTTGGTGGTGCTGGCTTCGTTGCTACTGGAGATGGCTGTTCATGTTTATCAGTTAATCTTGAACTACTGGAAGATTTTTTTCGACTTATTGATTTCGATTTTTTATCAGTTCTTGTTCTTCTTTTCTTTTTCCGTCTTTTAGATTTAGATCTTCGATTTGATTTTGTTCTTTTCTTCGATCGAGATGATCTTTTTCTTTTCGATCGACTTGAACTTCTTTTCTAATAAATGAAAATATTCATTCCATTATTCATTTCTCATCATGATTATACAAACACGTTTTTTTCTTGATCGTCTACGACGCTCAGAAGCATTTTCATTCATTGTCATATCAATATTAATTTTTCTTTTTCTTTTACGATCCATCCAAATTTTGAATATTAAATATACAAAAACTATACATGACAAACTGCCACTTAGCAGAATAATAATAATTCCTAACATTCATTTACCCGCCACTTGAGATCTATATAAATCGTATTTAGTTATTTGTCCTTTTTTTCAACATAATATCATCAGGAAGCAAAAAAAGAGAAAGAAAAAAAAAGAAAAATGTTCAAATGACCACAAAAAGAACAACAGCAAAATCGAATAGTGAATACATTGATAAGTTTCCTTTTGTCTGTTTTATACAACAACAAAAAAAAAGACAAGAAAAGTAATCCACAACAACGGTTATGCAGTTTGAGAGGAAATAAACAAAGGAGACAATGACAAAAAAAAGACAAAGCAACAGCAAAAAACTGTTCGATTAAGAGAAAATGTTTGAATACGAAAAAGAAAAAAAAGAAAAAAAGGGAAATTCCTGAAGAAAACGCCTCATACGGCAAATATGCTATTTTCATAGAAAATAGACCAAAAGAAAAAAAAGAAAGAAAAAAAGCTTTATATGTATACACAAAATGAAAAGAAAAAAGGATCCTTATCAATATGTTGGTTTGCTAATATGGACAGAAATACGTGTGCAATAGCTACACATAACTTAATTTTGCATTTTATGTTTGATTTCATAATCGCTAGAGTGCCTGTTCTAATAAATACTTGTAGCAAAAAAAGAAAAGAATATATGCTAGACTACATTAGAAAAGAAAAAAAATAGGAGAGAGAAGGAGATCATGGCTGTTGTTTTGTCGATGGTTGTGGTTGTTGTTGTTGTTGTTCGAGAGACGGCTGTGTCGATGGAGCATAGGAACGTAATATTGATTCATCTGAGACAGACATTGGATTAGCTCCAGGAAAATTGGCATAACCAAAATTCTAGATGTAAAATCAAAAAGATTTGAATGGTTTTTTCTTTGATACAAAAACTTACGGAAATATTCCATGTTGGTGCAAAAAGTTGAGGACTAATTGCAGTACCACTAGCAGCAAGGATTTGTGAAATAAGTTCAAGACTAAGACCATTATTTGTAGGTGGTCGTCCATTTTTTGCTAATGCATATGCAGCAGCAGCAGCGGTTGCTGTTACATCGATTTGTTCGTATGATGTTGTCGTTGATGTTGCAGATCCCGTTGTTGGAATTCCTGAAAGATTTGTTGATGTTGATTGATGATGAGATAGGATATCAACTTCCGAAGATATAACTTTTTTATTATTAGGTATTGTTGTTATATTTAATTTTTTAGTTGTATTAACATTATTATTATTATTATTAGTAGTAGTAGTAGTATTAGTATTGTTGTTGGATGATTGTCGAAGTTGATTTTCCAGAAGTGACTGATGTGTTAATGCATTGGTTTGTCGTGGTGATTTACTTTTTTTAATTGTTTGTTGACATGTCTCATTATATTGACTATTTGTATTTGTTGATAAACGTCTACGTGATGGTGATATTGCTTTTTGTTGTTGTAACTGTTGTTGAAGTTCTAATTCAGCTAGAAGTTTTTGTTGTTTCAATTGTTGTTGTTCTTTACGTGGACTTGGTGGAACAGCAGGTAATACTGCTGCTGATGACGATGATGAGGATGAGGATGGTAATGGTGGTGATACTTGACTAATTGTTGTTGCTGTTGTTGTAGTAGATGAAGATATTGTATCATTAATTGGTAGAATTTCTGAAAGTCGACGTCGAAGATTAGCGTTTGTAACACGAAGTGAATCTCGACGATGTTTAAGTTCTTCAAATTTTTTTTGTAATGAAGCATTCTCTGATTTGAATTGATATAAACAAGATAATAATGATGATACGTCATGTGGCATTGTTTGTTGAAGAAGAAAATCACTTGATAGTTCCCATTCTTGTTCAAGAAATTCTTCTAATGTTTGTGGTGGAAATGTACGTTGTTGTTGATCAGTTGTTATTGATAATGTTGATGTATTTTGTAATGGTCTTCGAGGATAAAAATCAATACGTGGTGTTGTTGTTGTTGTTGTTGCTGATGATGATGGAACACGACTACGTGATGGTTCTTCAGTTGTATCTGAAAAAAAAAATTTTTATTGATTAGATTTGATTTTGTTTTTTGATATTACCTAGAGAAGAAATTTGTTGTAGGTGGTCATCGGAATGTCCATGTTGTTTAAAAATATCCGAATTAATTTGATTACCAAAATGATCACATGGATAATAATGTGTTGAACGAGCATTTGGTTTTACTTCATTATCATAATCATTTTCGGATGAATTTTTTGAAATATTTATTAATGTATCATTTACTTTTTGTTGTTTCATATTATTATTATTATTATTATTATTATTATTATTATTATTATTATTATTA